TCAACTGATACTTCACCTTCTGAAACAACATGTCCCAAAATTTTCACCTCTTGTAGCCAAAACTCACACTTCTTATATTAGGCATACAATTGGTGCTCCCACAAAATCTGTAATACAATACTCAAATGGATCTCGTGCTCCTCTCGAGATTGTGAATACACAAGAATGTCATCCACGAAAACTACCATAAGCTGGTCCAAGTAATCATGAAAGAGGCGGTTCATCAAGTCCATGAATGCTGCTGGCGTATTAGTCAAGCCAAATGGCATAACAAGGAACTCATAATGTCCATACCGTGTACGGAATGCTCTCTTTGGAATATCTTCATCCCTAACCTACAACTATAGTAGCCTGACCTCAAGTCAATTTTTGAAAAACAATTGGCTCCCCTTAATTGATCAAATAAATCATCTATCCTTGGTAAAGGATATTTGTTCTTGATAGTGGCATGATTCAACTTTCAGTAATCAATGCACAACCTCAAAAAACCATCTTTCTTCTTAGCAAACAAGACTGGTGCGCCCCACGGTGACACACTCGGTTAGATGAAACCTTTCATCCTCAAATCATTAAGTTGTCTCTTCAATTCTTCCAACTCCACTCATGCCATAGAAATCGGCATGGTACTGGGCATCAAATCAATAGTAAACTCACCTTCTCAATATGGAGGCAACTCTGTCAAGTCCTCTGGAAAAACATCTAAGAAATCACGAAGAATTGCCGGATAAACCTCTTCCACAATATCATCTCTTTCGGCTACTAGCCAAAAAGTAATCACTACGACTCCGTCCACGAATTCCATACAATGATGAAAGTTGGGAATCACTTCGATCTCCCATGAAAAATAAGCAATCTCCCTCGGGAGTGCAAACTGTGACTCTTCCTTTGAAACAATCGATCGTAGCACGAAATAAAGCTAACCAATCCATCCTTAGAATGACATCAAAGCTAGTCATCTCCAGAAGGATAAAGTCAAACACAAAAGTCCGCCCGCCTATCACGATAGAGTAATCCCTCACAATTCAACTCAAAGACACTGAAACCCCAACTAGCGTATCAACACATAACACCCGATCCATGAAACAACCTCTAACCCTGATGCAAGTACAAATGATGATGAAATGAAGGAATGAGATGCACCAGAGTCAAACAAAACACGGGCCCAAGAATCAAACACTAGAAATATACCTCGGAGAACTGATGAACCAGAAGATGCATCGGCCTGTGTAAGTACAAAGACACGTCCCTGTGGTGCCTGTGCCTGAGAACTGCCAACCTGAACACTTGACTGCTACACTGACATAGTAGGAGTATCCCTCTTAACTGGCCGTGAACCCTAAGAGGACATGGCAGGCTATGGTGGTGGCTGCGATCTGAAACCTGACTGAGCTACAGCCGACTACGACGGCCTCTGCTATGACCCTCTTCCACTACCCGTGCCTGCTCCCCGATTCGGGCAATCCAGAATCAAATGGCCTAGTTGGCCACACCTATAACAAACTCTCGATGCTGTAGGAACTGCAAACGATTTCATAGGACAGTTGGATTTGTAATGTCCATGTTGCTGACACTGATAACAAACAACTCCACTCTTATCAGACCCAACTAGCATAGAAGAAAAAATACAGAGCTTCAAGTTAAAATCAAACATAACATGGTTAAAGAAATTCATCTGATATATATGGATCAGACAAGAAAAATATATATGGATCAGACAAGAAAAAAAAATACAGAGCTTTGATGAGGCCGCTTGATATACGCCAAAATAATGTAGTGAATGTACGGTTCAAGAAAAGCCTTTTAGGTCAAGTTTAAATTTATAAAAATCACTAAGAGTGAATAGGGATCGTCCCAAGGGATTATACGTGTTGGAAATTAACTTTGACTCTAGTGGATGACAAGATTGTGAATGAGAGATTGATTGTTTGAATTAAACTAAAATTCAATTAATTAAAATGCAAGAAAAGTAAACTAGTGAGAGATAGGGATTTAAGAGATATGAAGAGAGGACTTAGGGTGTTGGAATCACCACTAAGCTCATGTAATTAACCACTTGCTTTCCATTAATGAGGAATACATTGTTGTGAACAAAATGCGACTACCAATTGCAATATTAAGCATGGACCATCTAATTTAAGAATGAATTGTCTACCTAAACTAAGTGTAGCACAACTCATCAATTTTAAGCATGACTAATCTAACTAATAACAATTGTAGCACACATCAATCTAGAGAATCATGGAATTTGCAATAATAAGCCATGGAATATCTAAGCAAACATAGATTGTCTACCTATCTACAAACATGAATTAAATTGTAGAACAACCCATCAAGTATAAGTATAAACCATCAAATTAATTGACAAACCCATTCAATGAAAACACATACTTAGCCATCACTAAATCCTTAATTAATCACACATAAACATGCAACCAACATAGAGAATCTAGTGTAGAGATCAATTCCCCAAATAATCACACATAAGACAACATGTAATTAAAATAGAAAATCATAAGGAAGAATTAAATCAACAATCACAAGGCTAGAGCACTAATCACAACAATATATATATAAATCCCCAAAAATAGAAATACAAGGGTTTAGATTACACAAGACTTAGGGCTCATCCAAGCCCTAAGTGTAGATCTAGCCAATCATGAAGGAAGTAGATATGATCATGAAATCAAGCTCCAAATATGGCTCCATCTTCTTCTTCCTCTTCTTCTTCTTCTTCTTTGAAGCTCTAGAGATGGAGAGAGAGATTGATCTAGAGATGGATCTTGAGATGTGCGTCCACTTCCCCCTTTTCTTCTAACCCTAATCTCTAACTTCTTAGAGAGATAAAGTAAAATTTCAATGTAAAAATAAAAATGATAAAAAGCTCTTTACAAAATAGGTCACTTCCCTTTATATAGAAGGTCCTTTTCTTAGTCACTAAGTCATGAATATAACTCCAAAAATATCTAATCCCGTACTATGTGGTAGGTGGACTTTTGGGCTCGCACGGGAATAAGACAGCTCGCTGCCAGCAAATGTTCGATCGATCCAACTTTGATTTTCGATCGATCCAACTTTGATCAATCTGAGAAAAGTTTGATCGATCTCACGTTTTGTGCGATCGATCTCAGAATGGATCGATCCAACTTGGCAGATTTTCAGCATCAGCCTCTTTTTACTCCAAATCAACCTCTTTTTGCTCCGGATCATTACTAAGACTTAGTTTGACTCCAAAAAGGCCTTAAGTAACCATTTTTAGCTCGTTTTAGCTTTATTGACCTAAAAAGGGAAATAACACGAAATTAGTCTAAAACGGAAAAATAAGATAGATAAAGGTTCTAAAATACTCAAGTTTAAGGGGTTTAAATTTGTACTTTTCAGCGCTTATCAAGCTTCAAGTTAAAATCAAACCTGACATGGTTATCGACTCCATTAATAATCTGTCATTTTGTCTGAAATTTCTTAATCCCTTATTTAATCTTTTCTTGAGCTTAAGATCTAATAGAGAACAATAGAGAGAGAGTTGCCGCGTATGGCTGTGGAGGGTTAACAGTGAGGAGCTAAAAAGGACGTGCCGTAGTAGTTTTTAGCTCTAGGGTTTATCTTCTCCATCTCTTTTAACTTTAGTAAACCAATGGTTGAGATGTATTAGATTCAAAGGTTGAGATGAAATCTTATTTGGATGGTGGACTAATGGGCCTTAATGAAATAATGTAAATTGGGCTAAAGTTATACTTTTATGGGCTAAATCTTTTAGATGTAGTGTAGTAATTATATATGGGCTTTTAGAAAGATAATACAAATTGTCAGTTAACGAGCTGGTTCACAAACCTAACGAGCCGAGCTCAATGTTGCTCAAACTCGGCTCATTTATTAAACTAGCCCGAACCGAACTTTTAACGAGCCTAGCCCGAACTATTCATGAACAGTTCGGTTCATTTGCAGCCCTATATATATATATATAATCCTCCTTTTATCACTTTGTACAAACAGGTGCATGTATTATCAATTCATACCTTGATCAATCATTCAAAGTCCAACAAGTCAATCTAAGAATAAAGTACGACTTAGTTTTAAAATTTATTAGTGTTGTCATATACAAACAAGGAAGAAAATGCTAATTCATTGAATACACACCATTACTGGGTACTATTTTCGTACTACTTTTATGATTTTACAATACATATGTTTTTCCATTTCCATTTTCTTAGAAACAATTTTTTTTTTTTTTTTTGTACCTATAAGTATTTCCGGTTATATACTCCCACCATCCCAATTTAATGTTATGTTTGAGAAACCGTTTATGAGTCACGGTTCTCCAAACAGGATATCTAAATTGAGATAAAGATAACATTAACAAACACTTGATAATCAATTATGTTTTTTTTTTTTTTTTTTTTTAGTTGGTACTCAAACATAAATCTCTGACCTCCTTTTGGGAGGTAAGAGCCTGGTACCGCTTAGAGCAGCCCTTCTAAAACAGGAAACAAAAATAATTCAATTTCTATTTATTTATAGCCCCAGTATATACAGTGTGTATAATATAATCCTGTTTTTATCACTTGATACATTATTGAACAAGTCCATATATATTTCATGGCTGTTGCAGAGATTGATCCATCATTCGGAGTCGAACCGGTCGACATTCAATTCATTCGAACTAATAAACTATTAAAAGTCCTACTCTAATCCTTCCCAAACTTTGCCACATCAATCTTCATGTTTCCTTCTCTTGTTTTTTGTGCAAAATTTTCTAGCCAGAACTCAGAAGAAGAATAATATTTTGTATAATTATTTATTGATGCATTCTTGACCGATTTGTGTTTTAACTTTTTTTGACTCGCCATATCTTCGTATTTGTATGGTTAATATGACACATTTTATTTATAAATTTTAAAAATAAAAAATAAAAAGAGAGAAAATAATAAGCAATTAAACCTGGATCAATTTTTTAGAAAAATGACTAGAAGTCCATTAAAGACTGCTGAAGCAGAGATGTAATTAAAAGGACCGCCAAAACTTAAAGAACTAATGACCTTCAAAACGCAACGTTTTGAATATACCTAATGAGTAATTACCTTCAAAACACGGCTTGGTGCTCTGCCACGTCTGCAACTCTCATCATTGAACCACGAGATTGAACCACGAGGAGGAGGAGGAGGAGGAGGAAGAGGAAAATTTCAAGGAAGGAATAGTCTAGAAACCCTTCAAAACACATATACGAGTAAATCCCCAAATCTCAGTCTTGATTTGAATATGTTTGTACTATGTATATATATGATTATAAGTATATATATACACACACACACACATATATGTTTTTGTATATCGCAATGCAATTTACGTTTTTAATGTAGATCTTGAAAAAAATTGGGTGTCACCACTCTGAATCCTAAAATTTGTATCAGAAATTTCTCACTATCTTTGTCTTTGAGGTTTAATGTATTGGTGATGTTAAGAAATCAATTTATAATATCCATTTTTTTTGTCAAGATTTTTGAAAGATTTTTGAAAGATTTGTGTTCTTCGGCGTTACTTGGGTGTTAGTTATTTGTTAATTTAGTTATTGTAAATTTTGGTGTAGACTGTGATGAATATTTGATGTAAATTATTGGGAGTAGAAGACAATGGTGTTACTGCTGGCAATTGGGGATCTTCACATCCCACACAGGGCGCCTGATCTGCCACCAAAGATCAAATCCATGCTTGTTCATGGCAAGATCCAGCACATCATTTGCAACTGCATTCTCTAAATCATAGTACGCCACTTCTTCTTGTGAATCTTTTTACTTTTTTTTTTTTCCGAGTTTGTTAGTTGTTCTCTCTTGTTTGATCAAAATTTAATCTGTGTCCCCGTAAACACAAAATTGTGCTGATTTGCCCGAAGGGATGAAATTACTGTGTGTAGGTACCTGATTTTCAGGCGGGTTCCAGATCATCACAAAATAACAGATGGTGAGGTAAATCTTGCAACATGATGGAATCCGAGGTGGATTGAGAGAGCTAGAAGCCCAGGCAAACAAGAGAGAGAGAGAGTTGGCAGTGTATATAGAAAACACCATTGACTCATTGATCCATCTTTCAGGAGCTGGGAACTTAGAGAGAGAGAGAGAGAGAGAGAGTTTAGAGCTCTCGGTTTAGGAGGAATTTTCCTTCTTCTTGTGTCTGCCCCTTTTCTTAGCCTTAGGTCATTTCCTTTTATAGGCCAAGTGAGGGTGGGTGATGTCATCAATGACATCACATATAGGTCCATTAACAAAATAATTAAAAGAGATTAATTTCTCAAATAATTATAAAGTAACTTTAAATAAGATGGAGTTAAATGCTCGGGAGTCAAGATGGTATTTATCTCTCTGCAAGTCAGGCCGAGTGTCGACTCGGCGAACCCTAGACTTCAGCCACCAAACCAAAACCTCTTCAGATCCTAAAGAATCCTGAATCCTGCTCCCAACTCAGGTCTTCATTCTTCTATTTGAAGCATGTTGATGCCGTGGCAACTTTGACCATTGACCAGGTTATATGGGCCATCGCTACTGATGTGGCGTAGCTCGTTGACCATTTGACCGAGCTGTGTGGACTGTTGTTGATATAGTGACGTTTGCCAGGTGGACTCGAAATATAAGTATCTACATTAGTCCCCCTGCGCGAGTGAGCTTCGTAGAAAGTAGAAGGTTAGTCGGGCGTAAAAAGATATGCTGTAATCATAAAAGAAAATGAGGGATCCTTAGAGATTCCTAAAGAAAAAATATATATATGAGAAATACGTTTAAGCAGCAAAGTGTGTCTCCATATAAGGTATCGCATCTCGGGTAAGTGTTCTGAGTCTTTCAATGGACTTGCTTTGGTTAAAATATAAGGTTCTAGGTCGCTTGATAGGAGTCGAATCGAGGAGAAGTCTTTCGATCGACTAGTGAGTTCAGGACTAGGTCGCTCGATGGGATCGGATCGAGGAAGAGTGCTTTAATCGACTAGTGTGCAATACTAAGTTGCTCGATGGGGTCAGATCGAGGAGGAGTGCTTCGATCAACCAGTAGTGCAAGACGATTGCTCGATGTGGTCAGATCAAGGAGGAGTGCTTTGATCAACCAGTAGTGCAAGACGGTTGCTCGATGTGTCCTCAGATGAGGTATCTCATCTAGGGTAAGTGTTCTGAGTTGCTCGATGGGAGTCAAATCGAAGAGGAGTCCGTCGATCGATCGGTTAGTGATAGTTTGGGACTGGGTATCTCGATGGACTTGATTTGTTTAAAATATAAGGTTCTAGGTCGCTTGATAGGAGTCGAATCGAGGAGGAGTCCTTCGATCGACTAGTGAGTTCAGGGCTAGGTTGCTCGATGGGGTTGGATCGAGGAGGAGTGCTTTGATCGACTAGTAGTGCAAGAAGTGTTCTGAGTTGCTCGATGGGAGTCAAATCGAAGAGGAGTCCGTCAATCGATCGGCTAGTGATAGTTCGGGACTGGATATCTCGATGGACTTGATTTGTTTAAAGTCTGAGGCTCTGGGTCGCTCGATGGAAGTCGGATCGAGGAGGAGTCCATCGATCGACTAATGATAGTTCAAGACTGGGTTGCTCGATGGACTTCGAATGGTGAAGTCTGATTGATGCCCTAGGTCACTTGATTAACTTTTATGATAGTTCATTCAAGGCTCTGGGTCGCTCGATGATTTCAAGCCTGGTTCTAAGTTGAGGTTGTTGGTTATTTATTGATGATATGTCACCACAAATATATAGGTATCTATAGTAGGGTAGTCCCCCTGCGCGAGTGAGCTTCGTAGAAAGTAGAAGGTTAGTCGGGCATAAAATGATGTGTATCCAATTTGGGGAAAGTGAATTGAGATGTTCTATCCATCAATCGACTGCTGATACATTCGAGATTTTGTGTCGGTCGATGTCTAGTTTTGGTGATCTGGTTTGGCTACCCGAGTTGGATGACTCAAGTAGGGTGGCTCGTCGAGGTTTTGGGTTCGTCGATGGACTATGTATGATAGGACAGAGGCTTTGGGCGCTTGATATCCAAGTCAGATCGAGGTTCTGCTATCATTAAGTGTAATCATAGCGTTGGGACAAAGGTGCTGGGCGCTCGATATCCGAGTCAGATCGAGGTTTTGGGTCCGTCGATTAACTAATCATGGCATTGGGATAGAGGCACTGGGCGCTTGATATCCAAGGCAGATCGTGGCTCTGGGTCCGTCGGTTGACTAATTATGCCGTTGAGACAGAGGCACTGGGCGCTCAATATCCTAGTCAAATCGAGGCTTTGGATTCATCGATTGACTAATCATGCCGTTGGGACAGAGGTGCTGGGCGCTCAATATCCGAGTAGGTATAAATGTATACATGTATTGAGAGGTAGTGAGAACTCGATTGAGAACGGTAGATTTTTTGTTCAACGTTTTGAGAAGGGCTTGTCGAAGGCCTCATCATGGACAAAATGGTAGTCATGTAAATAAATATGTGTGCGTGTGTGTGTATATAATTTTGTAGATTCATGTATGCGGGTGATCTGTGGAAGACCAAAGGAGTTTTATAAGTTTTATGTGGTAGTCTTGTGCATGAGCTAGTTGAAAAGAAGCAGACTGATGTAAAGAGACGGTCCTAGCGTGATGGCCTAGAATTGATGATGGGTCATGCCCATAAAATGTAAATCAAAAGAATTTCTAATAGGTTTGGAGATGATGATAGTCCGTTGGTAAGATATATATATATATATATATATACATCTTTGTGCGTGCCTATTTAGGCATATGTAGTCGTCAATGCAAAGGAAAGGAAATAATACATATAAGTGTATCATATAATAATAAAAGGCCTATAACCGGTGAGAGTGCGCCTCCACACATGTGACTACGGCAGCCCTTTATTATTATGAAAATAAGGATAAGAAGTCAAAGCATAAAAATGTGTTGCATTCAAATATATATATATATATATATATATAGTACAGACTATATATTATTATGCTGCCAAACTAAAGTCGAGGGTTGTGTGCAATAAGTATGCATGGCGTGTGATGTTTGTAGCAGTCACATTAACAGATGGTAGGTTGAGGAGTGTGAGGTAAAAAAAAAAAGTAAAAAGAAATGTACACAAGCTGACAAGTGTAATGGAAAAGATTTTTACTTTTTTATTATTATTATTGCAAGACAAATAGCCATGGAATGCGTTTGACCATGAATTTGGTGTCATAGCAGTGCATACGAATGGAGACCAAACATGATATATAAATAAATAGTATTACCATCTATATCTATATATGTGTATATATATCAGAATCTAGTGGTGGGATCCACTTTGGTGTGTCTTTCCTCAGTGGTTGGGAGATGTGCGATTGAAATTGGAGGAAGAAAAAAAATGATCAATTTGTTCTTTTAAGGTTTGTTGTGTTCATTGAAATCGATGGGAACCACTAATAGTTACAAAATCTACGACCTCGTCGACAAACAGCTTTATGAAATCGACGAGACCCTTCGATAAAAATGAGTGCATAAAATCGACGGGGTGGCGCTGGAGATCGACGGGATGGTTAATTAAAAACGGCAGGGTTTGTCAAGAAATCGACAAGAATTCCCAACAAGACTCAAGACAGGTCATCGACGAGTAATTGATGGCGTCATCGAAGGGATGGAGGCCATCGACATGGTGCACCCGTGAGGCTTAGCTCCAAAATCGACGGTCATCAACTGGTTTGTCATCAAGGTCTGCTTGCTCGGAATCGACGGGAGGATGACATCGAGGGAAGAGTTGCATGAAATCGACGGGTGCATGAAATTGACGGGTGGATGACAGACGGATACATGCAATCGACGAGGTTTGTCGATTAAAATGATGGCATGGCGGGACATCGACGAGTTGGTATCGACGGGTTGGTGTCGAGATGATTGTATGTATGAAATCGATGGTTGTCGTAGATCGACATGTGAGTTCTTCGATGGGTTGGTGTCGAGACGGTCGGCATAAAAAAGTTGCAGGTAATCGACGGGTAGGTGTCGGGAAATCAAAGGGCGCAACAGCAAAAAGAAATGGCAGTCTCGTCGTCTAAAATCGATGGATCATCGTCTACAAGACCGACGGACAAATCATGAATCCATTGGTCGATATGTAGCCCAAAATTGAGGGGTCATCAACAATTGCAAATAAAAATGTTGGCATGTGCAGCAATTGCAAAATTATCTGTGTTAATACTTTGATTATGTAATGCAGAGTGTTGATTTCTGGGTATGCAAAACAAATGAATGTTAAGTGTGAAGAAGCAACAGTGAAGGATAGAGGGTTGTGAGGATCACCGGTCAGCAACCAAATTGGTGGTCTGAAATCGACAAGTTCTGTCGACGAGAATGGTTGAAAGAAATTGACGCGGATTCGTCGATTAGGTACCCCAAAAGTGAAGACGTCATTAAGGCGAGGAGCCAAAAAGCAAAGTTCCTTCAGAAAATGGATGGCGAAGGACTACATATATATTTGACATCTGCAACTTGTTGAACTTTTAAAGCAGTATATCGAATAGTAGTAAAGATGAGCAAATATATATATATATATATATATATATAGTATTTTGTCCTACGTAACAGTAAAAATAATATAAAAATGCTAATATGTAGCATCAAAATATTTATTTACTTTTGGGTGTTACTGAATGTTTTATTGCCTAGTTTTTAGGCTTTATTGTACTGTCAAGAGAAAAAAAAATTGTAGGGCTCCAGTTAAATTTTGTCTTACTTAACAGTAGAAATAATATTACGTGCTAGATATTTATTGTGTTTATAGAGATAAGAGAGACTGCAGTGTATTTTATGCTTCCTAGAGGAAAGAAATTGACGATGTTGTCTCTCAAATCAATTGATTGTAATGAAAGAAATAGCATGCAGTGAGCCAATTATATATATATACAATATGATTGTGATTTGGGTGAATGTAAACAGCGATAGTAGTATTGTTAGATGCAAGAGATGGAGATATCAAGATCCGCATAACAACACAGGTAACAAGGTGTGCATGAGCAATATTTGCAAGAGGAAAAAATATTGAAATAAGGAAAGAAATGGAGTGAGATCACCATAACCAGTAGATCAATAGAGGGCTTTTGAGTATTACTATATCCACAAATGACTCTTCCCACGATTTATACGAGGATACCTTCCTAGTGAAGTCGCCAAATGTAGGTACCTGATTTTCAGGCGGGTTCCAGATCATCACAAAATAACAGATGGTGAGGTAAATCTTGCAACATGATGGAATCCGAGGTGGATTGAGAGAGGTGAAAGCCCAGGCAAACAAGAGAGAGAGAGAGAGAGATGGCAGTGTATATAAAAAACATCATTGACTCATTGATTCATCTTTTAGGAGTTGTGAAGACAACCCATCTTAGAGAGAGAGAGTTTAGAGCTCTCGGTCTAGGAGGAATTTTCCTCCTCCTTGTGTTTGCCCCTTTTCTTGGCCTTAGGTCATTTCCTTTTATAGGCCAAGTGAAGGTGGGTGATGTCATCAATGACATCACATATAGGTCCATTAACAAAATAATTAAAAGAGATTAATTTCTCAAATAATTATAAAGTAACGTTAAATAAGATGGAGTTAAATGCTCAGAAGTCAAGATGGTATTTCTCTCTCTGCAAGTCAGGCCGAGTGTCGACTCGGCGAACCCTAGACTTCAGCCACCAAACCAAAACCTCCTCAGATCCCAAGGAATCATGAGTCCTGCTCCCAACTCGGGTCTTCGTTCTTCTATTTGAAGCATGTTGATGTCGTGGCAACTTTGACCCTTAACCAGGTTATGTGGGCCATCATTACTAATGTGGCGTAGCTCGTTGACCATTTGACCGAGCTGTGTGGGCTATTGTTGATGATGTGGCATTTGCCATGTGGACTCGAAATATAGGTATTCACACTGTGGAAACTTGATTTTTTATTTTTGTTAATTTATTTTTTTATGCTTATTATTTTGGTAGGTGTCCCAACTCTCATTTGTTTGGGTTAGACAGTGCAAAAATATAAGTTTTATGGCCTGACAAACACTTGGAAGCACCATGCTTGTTGAGTTTGCCTCCCATATAGTGTTTATATTAAGTTTCAGTTAGAGCACTCATACGAGATGGTTTTGATAGCTAACTTTAACTTTCCAGTTTTGGTTCTGTGTCTTCTGAAAGATCTCGTGTGTATATGTTGATGTGAATACGCTTACAACTATTTAAATTCTGTCCTCAATTACTCATTAAGCGGCATAACATTTCTTCCTAGCAGAAATTTGTTGTATGGCATAAAAAGGCTTTGATAATTTGAATAGCATGATGGAGGGAGATTGTCTGACAATGGGATTGGTCATTTCGTTGCTAAAGTAAATTTTAGCCGTTATTGAAATTTGTAAGCGGCACTCTTGCCACGTATCTCATTGGCATCTTTGGGCAGTGAAGATCTCGGTGGTAGATTGTTTTGTCAAAGAGGTAGGAGGCTTTTTAATCATTTGAAATCTTTTTTGTTATAAAATTGGGCACTTCTCTTAATTGTGTTTTCGTATATCTGCTTCTGCACGAGTGTCAATTAAATGAATTTTCAGACTAAATTCAAGTTCTTTTACAAACCAAAAGCTGAATCAAGTAGGCCATTAGATTTTTCCCCACTTAGGAGCTGTGATTTTAGGCATGGCCACTTGGTTGGGTCTTCATGAGATAGTTGGACTTGCATCCTTCTCAACTAACTCGAAATATATACATAGAAAATAACAGTTGGAAGATAATTAGTAAGTATTTGAGGGTGATGTATATTGTCTTCTTAGAGTTCTCCTGTGAGAAACAAGAATTTTACTGAAATTAGGTTTAAAATTTTCAATGGATGTGAATCAAGGCCAATATTTTAGATTTATGTGAAAGACGGGTTTTTTTTTTTTATATTCTTTCTCTGCTTTATGAATTGAGCTGCTTATAAACATCTCTGATTTTGTTAAGAAATTCATACAAAACACATTTAGTAATCATATGAATCAAGCTTATATATGGTTGCTGTCATATAATCCCGAAAGTCATTCAAGTTACATTTGCTTTGTGACCTTACCATGTATGGTTGAAGGAGATAATCCAACAAAATGTAGTCACTAGGTCGTTGTGATTAAGTTTTTCTCCACAGGGTCTTTTCGTCAAGTCAAGCTGATTGATGGATTAATGTATTTGAGAAGGGAATGACTTTTGCATAAATTCTGCAAGTCAGTCTCCGTCTTTAATTCGACCCATAAGCAACACTTTTAGAAAAGTCACAAGGAGTAACAAGTCTGTCATACAAAGGGATACTCCGCTAGAAAATTCTTGGTTCTAAAAATTATCCAAATTAGAAATGTTCTGTGACCATGCTTTGATTCCAAAGGATGTGAAACAGTCTAGAAAGCTACTTGATGAGAAACACTACTTGAACACAATAGATGAGATGGAGAAAAAACCCAAAATGACTTTGTGTAAAATTTCTGGCCATGAGTAATTCCTGCAACGAGTTTGTTTGTGGGATTAATCCCCTCCAAAACACTGTACAAAAAATCAATAGGCAGAGCTAAATGAATTAGAATGGTGCTGGAAAGATTATTGTGAGAGTGGTTCAAGTATTCTAGCTGCAATCAAATTTTCTAGTCTCAGTAGTTGTCAATTCACTGTTGAAATTACTAGCATGGAAGCTGTGAGGTGTGGTAACATATATTTGTTACTGGACAGGTTCACATATGTTACCATTTAAATTTCACATATGTTGGATCATTTGATCACTACAATTCGGTTTGCTCAAGAATAGTATTGATATATTGCAGGACTATGGTATTTTATTTGGAAGGAATTCGTATTATGGCAATTTTCACTGTGTCAGAATGACTTCTCGCCTGTAAATTCTACCATTACTCTCTGACTAGCCATCAAAGTTTTATAAAATGAGTACGTCTTCTCTCCTTGGGAAATACTGGGCTCCTAAGATTTAAATTATCATCCATTATGGTTAGGAAAACATTTAATTTGTATGTTTACATGACACCTACGCTCTATCATTTCGTACTTTTTATTGACACTCCCCAAATTTAATGGATCAATTGAACAGATGAACATCTTGATTTATTAGATGCTGTAATACAAATGCATAAAGTCAAATAACTAGTGGAAATCCAACAAGCAAGAAATTAACCCTATCAATTTTGTATTTTGCAGTGACTAATACAGAGATTACTAGATTAGTCGATCAAATATGGTATCTTGATCATTAGCTGTGACAGTGAGATTTTCTGCAGAGATTTAGCTAGTGAGTACCTGCTTGCTAGAAACTCTTGAGAGACGCGTAGCATCGTCAGCCGAGATTTTGGGTCAGAATGTAAGCAAGCAAATGCCAATGTAGCAACTAGAACAACATCCCGTGCAACCACTCCACGCGTTGGAGCTTGGAGACGAGTGTCTAATACATCATTTAGCATTATATTTTGCGTAGATGCAGATGTCAATGATTGGAGAAGTTCTCCAGGATGCCTTCCCATGAGTGTTTCTAGTGCCACAATCCCAAAACTATAAACATCGCATTTCTCATTTACAACCATGGTGAAGGCAAGTTCTGTATCAGCAAAAAAAAAATTATGTAAATTAAAAAATTACATGGTATGAAGTTCAAGAGCATGATTATTTTGTAGAACAGCAGAAGGTATTTCAAAAATCAAACATTAAAATACCATTTTGTTGGACAAGAAAGAAGACAAATACAATTAATTAATAGTATACCTGGAGCAACATATCCATAAGTGCCTGCAATTACTGTTTGATTCGACGAAGCAGGATCTAGCAATCTAGCAGTGCCAAAGTCAGAAACACAAGCATCCAGTTTTGAGTTCAAAAGAATGTTGCTGCTTGATATGTCACGGTGAATAACCACAGGGGAGCAATCATGATGCATGTAAGACAAAGCATTAGCAATGTCTTTCACCAGATTCACCCTCTTAGTCCAATCCAATTCCATGGCTTCAACTTCATTTCTCAAGACTAAAAATAGGCTTCCCCTCTCCATGTACTCATAAACCAAGAACATGCATCGCCTGTGTAGACAGAAACCGTAAAGCTTCACAATGTTGCGATGCCGTATTTGTGACAAAACTCGTGCCTCATTTCTGAAACTTTTATCGTAAGTTGGCTCCTCACCTTCCAAACGATGAAGTTTCTTCAATGCAACTACTTTGCCAGTAGGCAGCTGTGCTTTGTAAACACTCCCATAGCCTCCAGTTCCAATGCAGTACCTGATGTCAAAGTCCTCAGTTGCTTCAATGATGTCCTCGTATGCAATTGTTCCATCATAATTCCATATTGAGAATATATCTCCATGCTTTGCTAGTGTTTGTTGAGGCTGGGTTTTCTTCATCTTAAGTCGAGAATGGTACCAAAATCCTAGAATTAAGGTGGTGAGGAGAATTGTGACTGAAAGAGAAATTGCAATATGGTGCACGGATTTGTTTCTTCTCTTCGGAGGAGGAGAAGTAGGAGAGCAAGAAGGAAAATAGGTTGGGTTAGTGTTACCACATAAACCTTTGTTGCCAACAAATGAGGCGGCATATCGTTCATACTCGAAATCCTTTGGTATTCCACCCTCCAGAGCATTGTATGATAAGTCAAGGACATATATGTATTTGAGAGAAGGGGGAATATTGCCCGATAGTTTATTGTAGAAGAGATCCAAGACTTCCAAGTCCCTTATGCTGGTGCTGGTACGATTCCCCAGTTGAGGCGGAATACTACCATTAAGGTAGTTGTTGCTCAAAATCAGTGTCAACAAATAAGGGCAATTTCCAATATCAGTTGGGATGGGGCCGTTCAGCTTGTTTCGGGAGAGGTCTAAATATTCAAGATTGGAACAGTTCAGTTGAGGAGGAATGCTGCTATTCAGGTAGTTGTTGCTCAAATTCAATCTAAACAAATAAGGGCAATTTCCAATATCAGTTGGGATGGGTCCGCTCAGCTTGTTTTGGGAGAGGTCCAATTGTTTCAGATTGGACCAATTTCTGATGTTAGATGGAATGGGTCCGCTCAGCTTGTTTCGGGAGAGGTCTAATTGTTTCAGATTGGACCAATTTTTGATGTCAGATGGAATGGGTCCGCTCAGCTTGTTTTGGGAGAGGTCTAAATAATCAAGATTGGACCAATCTCTGATTTTATATGGAATGGGTCCGCTCAGCTTGTTTCGGGAGAGGTCTAAATATTCAAGGTTGGACCAATTTATGATGTTAGATGGAATGGGTCCACTCAGCTTGTTTTGGGAGACGTCTAAATACCGGAGTTTGGATAGTGGTGATGCTTGGTTTAACGAAAAGTTGATCACATTACGGGCAAGGGAAAGAGATACCAAGTTGGTTAAATGACCCAATGAAGAAGGAATTGAACCAATGAGCTGATTAAAACTGAAGTCTAGTTCGGTCAGATTCTTCAAATTCCCTATTTCGGGTGGGATGGACCCTTGAATCGAATTTGACCTGACAGAGATGCGAATTAGTTTTGTCAGGAGACCTACCTCCGGCGGGATTAGTCCATCAAGTCGGTTGCGACTCAGGTCCAATAATGTCAGGTTGGATATGTGACCAATAGATGGAGGGATTGGACCAACAAGACGGTTATTACTCAAATCTAGAGTGACGAGGTTTTTCAAATTCCCTATTTTGGGAGGGATAGAACCACTGATTTGATTTTGGGAAATGGACAACTCCAACAATCCGGTGAGGGCAGTAAGAGAAACAGGTAGCTCACCTTTAAGAACGTTAGAAGACAGATTGAGGTAGGTGAGTTTTGAAAGTGCACCTATTTGATGTGGGATGCTCTCATTGAGTCCATTACCACTAAGGTCGAGGCGAACAAGATTTGGAAAGGAAGAAAAGTTAAATTTCTCCAACTTACCTGCCAAGTTAAAGGTAGAAGGCGGGCTTATATCCGTGACACTACCAGCGTCGTTGCAATATATACCAGGCCACTTGCAATGATCAAACATGTTCTTCGTATAGCCATCCCACTCCCACCAGCCACTATTGCCTAGAGCCTGTGCTTCCAATTTAATTGATGATGATTCGGAGGCTGTCACAGCCAGAGTAGTAAATCGAGGAATGGTAGTATAGTAAAAGAGCAAGGAATACCATACTACTACAATCAGCGAAGAATAGGAATTGGAGGATGACATGATTGACTCAAGGGTTAAATTCAAACATGCATGTAGTATGTTGGTTGCTACTTTCCCAAAATCGTCATTCTCAGAAGCTTTAAAAGAGTTTGGACCTCGTTTGGGCACCCGCAGTCAAGGTCGTCGTCCTCTGGTAAAAGAAAAGGAAAATGCTTACCGGTCCCAGTATGCGTTTCTTTTCTGCCAACCTTTTTAACTTCACCAACTTAAATTTGGAATTTCGAAAATAGTTTGAAATTGAGGATTCATGAATGATATTCTTTTATTGATTATAAATGCGCGCCTTTGACATCTTGTTATTAGAATAAAAAAAGTGTTTTTGTCCGTAGAGCTATCAAAAAATTGTTTTTAATGATAGCTACTTTTCACAATTAAAATACTTTTTACTATGTTTGCTAATAATATTTTCTAAAACAGTTTTGTGGTTAAGTTTACAATAATGTCCTTTAATAAAATGTTACAATACTTGTGAAATTGTGTTTAAAAATAAAAATAAAAATGGATAATATTGTCTAAGGAAAAACAATTATCTAAAATATAAAACCTCTAATCATAATGAAATTTTGAAAGCTATAAATTTGAACTTGATTCAAAAGCTCTATGGAACTAAAATTGGTACTTGTACAGGCTGTACTTTTAATGATTACTGAATACATTGAAATATTTTTTTTAAAAAAAAATAAATAAATAAAAAGTACCTTTAAACATTTGAAAAGCAATCGCAAACAGGTATCAACTTCAGGGAAGGCAACAATAATAGCGGGGTCAACGACTTAGAGTAGAAACACTATTGATAAACCAATCCAAATGGTACAGGGGTGGTTGTAGCCTAGTGGATCAAGGCAGGATTGAGCCCCTTAGCCCGGCCCGGCACTGGCCCTCTATATATATATATTCACTTTTACTCTTTAAATTCTTTTAAAATCTTTTAGAAAAAAATTGCATTCCTTAATCTTAATTTTTTTTCCCTTCAAAGTTCTATTATTTTAATTTTTTTAATTTTAATTTTTTGTTTGCCTTGTGACTTTTACAATCTGTATTTGTCAAGATAGTTGTTATTTATTTATTTATATAAGAAATGAAATCGTGCTTCAACCCCGCACACTCGGGTATTGATTTTCACGAAGTTTAACACATCAGTTGTCATAAAGAATCATTAGCTACTGCCAAGTTTAAACGTTAATGTATCAATTTTTTCTAGTCTAACTAGTTATGAATTAATACTACTCATTACCATTTTATTTATTTAGAGTGCTAAGGCATGGAGAGTCGTCCAACTTCACCATTCTACTTATTTATTTATTTTTGCTTACTTGTCCAACTTCACCGATTTACTTACCGAAAATTAATTGAAGAAATTATTATTATCAACAAATTAATTGAAAATTAATTTTTACTTGTCCAACTTCACCGATTTACTTACCGAAAATTATTTGAAGAAATTATTATTATCAACAAATTGGTATAATTAGAAAAGCTGAACTGGATTAGTCAAAAGTTACAAGTCAAATTGATACAGAACAAGGAACCGATGACCATCTTGCACGGGTTGATTTTAGACCATTCCGTGCTTATTGGCTCTTGACACAGGAACATGGAGTCTTGGTAGGATGATAGCAAAAATTCTCATTCCGGTTGAGCCTTCTCCAGCCTCGTCCCATTTGGAGGCAGTTGGGATGGGGACTGTTTTGAAAAACTTGGGATGATTTCAGAGGATGGTTGTCCCGCCCTGTTCAATTCAGTCTGGATATACTATAAATTTATTAAATTATCCTTACATATTATGATAAATTACTAAAATAGGTTAAACATACATATTAAGGATGACAAAAATTCCAATCCTTGCGGGGGCCGCATTGTCTGGGGCGGTTTTGGGAAACCAATTATGTAAATGGAGGCAGGGATATGGGTTGCTTTAAAAAACCCGATGGGTTTTGGAGTGGTTATGGGGGTGAAAAAATTAAACAAGGATGGAGAATGAGATTCCCGTCCGAAACATCCCCATTGCCATCCCTAAGTCTTGGTCTTCCTCTGGCTAAGTCAAGAAGAAGCTGGTCTTTTCTACAAGTCAACCCATTTTGAACCCATTTTCTACAAGAATAAAATTGCCCCAAGCCGAAATACAAAACAATTAATGTTAGGCTGTGTTATGGTTGTATGTAATTGGTGTTTTGGAATTGAAATTTGTAGGATTAGAGAAAATCAATTCACAAAATTGAATCAAATTTTTTTCCAATTCTACTTTTAAGACTTTAATTTCATGCAACTGAACGTAGCTGGTATTCTATTTGGAGGCTTTAAAAGAGTTCTGTACGTGTTGACTCAGATACCGACGGCATACTAGCTAGACCGGGTCTTCTCGTCAAGTCAAACTGATTGATACATTATTAATATATTAGTCTCCATCTTTGACCCATAAGCAACACTTCTGGAAAAGTGATAAGAGAGTAACAAGTTTGTCATACGACGTGAATCAGTTAGAAATTTCTGAGGTTGAAAAATCATCCAAATTACACTAGCTAGACCGGGTCTTCTCGTCAAGTCAAGCTGATTGATGCATTATTAACATATCAGTCTCCATCTTTGACCCATAAGCCACCCTTTTAGAAAAGTTAGAAATTTCTAGGGTTGGAAAATCATCCAAATTACACTAGCTAGACCGGGTCTTCTCGTCAAGTCAAGCTGATTGATGCATTATTAACGTAGCAATCTCCATCTCTGACCCATAAGCATTTAGGAAAAGCGATAAGGGAGTAACAAGTTTGTCATACCAAGTGACTTAGAAATTTCTAGGGTTGGAAAATCATCCAAATTACACTAGTTAGACCGGGTCTTCGTCAAGTCAAGCTGATTGATGCATTATTAACGTACCAGTGTCCATCTTTGACCCATAAGCAATACTTTTGGAAAAGTGAAAAGGGAGTAACAAGTTTGTCATACGAAGTGACACAGTTAGAAATTTCTGGGGTTGGAAAATCATCCAAATTATGTGTAATTTGACCATGCTTTGATTCCACTACTAGATGAGAGACACTATTTGAATACAATAGATGAGATAAGAGGGAAAAAAACCTAAAATTAGGTCCACACCTACAATTAGGAAAAAAACCTGATAAACTTGGTGGCTATTGTCATCACCAATGTAAATGATCATTCAAAGCTGTAACACTAGTGGTCAAGCTTTTGATTGACTTTGATTTTCAGTAAATAACGAGTTTTTTTATTTATTCTTTCAAACCAGGCTAGTTGTTTCATATATATTATGCATGTCTAATTCTTTACAGGTCCACATTTCATGTCATCAGTGCATACGTTGATTAATTATTCCAGTTAATCTAAGAATAAATTATGACTTGGTTTTGAAATTTTGTTACTCTCTTCAAATAAGAAGATGATTGCACACACTACAACCGTTTACTATTTTTTTAGAAAAATATACTACTTTTATGATTTTATCCGCATCAATACATATGTTATTTCTTTTCCCATTTTCTTAGAAATTTTTTATAAGCTAAACATTTTCATATGCAAGCATAACAATGTACTTAATTCAGAATACACATTATTTTCTCCCTCATAATGTCAATGTGTCTCTTCAACTTTTGCAACAGAGGAGACTGTTGCTTCTAGTAAACCAAGCTAAGAAATATAGGCTTGTTTAGAAGAAAAACTGACACTAATATTTTATTTGGTATTTTTCAATTCCTAACCTTCACTATCTAGCTGGCAATTTCATGTATTTGAGTACCTATTAAGCAAGATGGGACAGCTGAAGAGGGTTGTAACAATATTGGTCCAAATTAATATAGGCCAAGTATGAATGTCACAAGAAAAAGAATGTACTTAATCTTGAAGACACAATTTTTTTCTATCCTTCTGCCAAATGTGGCATAAATTTGGTATAAAGGTTGGCCGATGATGCCCAAATGAACAAGTTTATTGTTACAAGGGTACTTGTCCCACATCGGATTCGGATGAGAAGTGACATAGGTATCAATGAGTGAGTATGCAGCACAATCCTATAACTTAATCTTTTAGATAAATGGCCAAGCGTCCACCTGTTATCTTTTGGTATCAAAGCCAGACGCCGGTGCCGGCCCGGATGGATAGGCTAGGTGACCTAAGCGCAACGTGCTTGCCCACCCATTATAGTTGGTATCAAAGTCAGACTCCGGTGTCATGCTAAGCACCCAGCCCAGAGGGGTGGGCAAGGTGGCTCAATGAGAGCGTTGCCGAGTTTAGATGTGAGAGAATGGTACTTATCCCACATCGGATCCATATAGACGGGTACACAATAATACTTTTGAGTAAATGAATAACTGTTCACCCATTACACTTACCCGAATTATTGGTCCAGGATTCCAATTAATGATCGATGCGGTATACAGTATCCATCTAAATGGCTGGCCGGGAAACTTTATCTTAGCACTATTATTGAAGGGTGGCAAGGCGCGGAAATTTCAGATTGAGGAAAAGCAAAAAGGAATTACAGAGAGTTTAAATTACAATAGCCATTAGCCAAGTGCGAAATTATAAAATATACCCCCCAAAAAAACTGGGGAACAGACTTCACAATTCTATTCGCTATGAAACATATATTTCATGATTCATGAGTTCCCACATTGTGATAGCATGCAGAGGGTTGGGCAGTGGTGGCCTGCGAACAAGGAACTCTCGGCAGACATGTTCCATTGTTGGCCGAGATTTCAGATTGGAATGTACACATGCTAGTGCGAGCCTTGTTACAAGAACTATATTCTGATCAGCCGATCGATTTGCAGGACGCAGAGGACGTGGGTCTAAAACATCCTTCAACATCATATGTTGAGCTGAAGTCAATGATAGCGAGGACAGAAGTTCTCCTGGATGCCTTCCCATTATTGTTTCGAGTGCCACAACCCCAAAGCTATAACCGTCACATTTTTCAGTCACAGCCATGGTGAATGCAAGTTCTGCAATAATATATATGTATGCAAGTAGTACATCAACAAGATATATAAGTGTAAGAGGAAATCATAAGAAAGGAAAGTATGACAATGTTGCAAATAAATATTATGGAATTTCTTCATCAAATTGTCTCGTCCATAGTCAAGTAGTTACAGATACATTTAATTGTTTTTCCTTATGACTTCGTACAGATGGTGTGAGATGTGAATTTTTCAAAAGCTATTTAAACGCAGCCTCTGACTATACTGGACAGACAGAATTAATTCAAACAACATTAGTAAATTTAGTATAGTGGTATAAAGCTCAAGCTCATAAGACGAGAGAAGTACTAATGTAACATGAAGTATAATATGCGAGAAAAGAAAATTCTACCGAGGAGATACTGATGTCCATCAGCATCATTATTTTGTAGTACATGACTAATCAAGCCACAAAACTATTCCATTTGCAAGGATAGTTCCAAGTTCAAGAAGTTTTTTGCCAAAAAAAAAAGTTCAAAAAGTTGTGATAGATATACCTGGAGCAACATATCCGTAAGTGCCTACAATCAAAGTTTGATTGGACGAATCAGGATATAGCAATCTAGCGGTGCCAAAATCAGAGACACAAGCTGTTGGGAAACGTGCTAGTTTTAAAAACTTTTCGAGGGATTTAAATTCATAGATCATGATTCATCACATAGAGACAAGTTTTATACAAAAATAAAACATGTTGTATCATTCAATTAAAAGATTGAATACTTACATCAAGGTTTGAGTAAACCTTAGATCTCTCCTCTGAAGTGAATGTTCTCACTTATTGTAGATCCCTTTTGCTAGACACCTTTTCCATGGATCTCCATCTTCTTGGTAATTTTTTTGCCTTTAGGAATCACTCATAAGCCTCCATGAATGACCTTGGAAAACTAGGCTTGTGGGAGCCTCCATTAGATAAGAACACTAATTCTAATTTTCTAGAGAGAGAAAATATATTCCTTTTTTTACTTCTTCCAAAAATCACACCAAAAAATATACATAGACTATGTATATTTATAGGTAACATAAAGATAAAGAAAATGAAACAACAAATCCTTCTCAATCTCTAATTCACATGTCTCAAATCTAATATGATTCCAATATCAAGTTGGACTATGAGTGAGAATCCATTGGGCCTATTATTTTATTGGCTACAATGAATTAATAATTGGCCCGGTCCGTGAACCCAATTCAATTAATTCATAAATTAATTTCTACTCCACTAAAAGAAATTAATTGAACTCCAATTAAATAATAAATAACCTCTAAGTCAATATTGCACTTTGACCCCTCTATGCATAATTAGTTATCGGATAAATAAAGCCATCAATCCGACTACTTAATTAATATATTTATTTTAGTACCTTGATTATTTCTGGCTCGATCACAATAAAACTTTGACAAAAATAATAATTTAAATAAATAAATATATAATAAATCATTTTGTCTAAAAACACACGAAGGCCTTCGAATTTACTTTGTGATCAACCATAATCAATACAAAATAAATACAAGTAGCCATAATGCAAATATTGAAAATATAACCCTCTAACTATTAATTACATAACTACCCAAAGTGTCGGTCTAAGGATCCCGAAGAATCTGCCGAACAAATCAAAGTAATTATTAATTAATAAAAGAGTCTATGTTTTTCTCATGCTTAAGAGTCAAATGCCATGACGGTGATAGGGAGCAATTGCATACGACGGCTCTCGCAATATATCTCAACCTAACGCGGATCCAGTTCTAGTCTTAATTAATTATGAGTCCATCCATAATTACCGACTATGAACAATTTATAATTATTATTTATATATCATGCATTGATTGCCATCACATACATATATATAAATATTTCTTGTAATTACAGGGATACTATCAATTTCATAGTGAATCGAAACATAATACATTGAATTCACCAATTATATAAATCATAAATATTTCAGATATGTCAGGAACATATGTCACTATAATCCAGATAGGAATTTGCTATGCCGGGGCATATAAATCCCAATACAAGCATCCAGTGTTGATTTCAAAAGACTGTTGTTGCTTGATATATCTCGGTGAACAATTGGTGGGCTGCAATCACAATGCATGTAAACTAAAGCATGGGCAGTGCCTTTCACCACATTCACCCTCTTTATCCAATCCAATTCCACAGCTTCAACGTCATTTCTCAAGACCGAAAATAGGCTTCCCCTCTCCATGTATTCATAAACCAGAATCATGCATCGTTTGTGTAGACAAAAGCCATAAAGCTTCACAATGTTTCGATGTCGTATTTCTAATAAAATGCGCACCTCATTCCTGAAACTTTTATCAAGATGATGAAGTTTCTTCAAGGCAACAACTTCTCCACTGGGCAACTCTGCTCTGTGGACACTCCCATTGCCTCCAATTCCAATGCAGTATTTGTCATCAAAGTCCTCTGTTGCTTTGATAATGTCTTTGTATGCAATTACTCCATCATAATTCCATATTGAGAAGATATTTCCATGCTTTGTCACTCTGGACTGACATTGGGTTTTCTTTACCTCGCTTTTAGAGTAGTACAAGTATCCAAGAATCAAGAAGGCTAGAAAAATTGTGATGGGAAGAAAAATTGTGATGTAGTGGAAATTTTTGTTTCGTCTTTTATTTTTGGAGCCGCTGGTTGTGGGGGATTGATGACAAGGCAAAAATGTGGTGCCACCACATAAATGTTGGTTGCCAACAAATGCGTCCGGGTAATATTTGAGCTGAAAATCCTCTGTGATTTGACCCTTCAAAGCATTGTGTGACAAGTCAATGTCCTCTATGGAGATGAGAGAATGAAGAATGCCACCAAAGAGTTTACTGTGGGAGAGATTCAAATAAGTTAAGCGACCCTTGTGGCCGAGTTGAAAAGGTTTTTCTCCAATGATTAAATTTTGACCAAGGTCAACATATGATAGCAATGGAAGGTTAGCTATTTGAAATGGAATGCTAGCATTCAAATAGTTGTTGCTCAAACACAAAGACTCCAAACTGGTTAAATGCCCTATTTCAAGAGGTACTGAGCCAATGAGTTTCTTTGAGGAAAGACCAAGATATTTGAGTTCAGTTAATTTGGTAAAGTCTCGAGGCAGGGTACCCTGTATCTGGTTAAAGGAAATATCCGGTGCAATTAAATCCTCAGAGCATCTCCAATGGGCTCTCCGAATTTAGGCTCTTCGAATTTGCCACATCAACATTTTTCAATAGCCACGTCAACATTTTCCATAGCCTTGTCAGCATTTTAGAGTCTCTAAATTTTAACTATCGGATGTACTCCAATGGTGCATTTTCGCTCTCTAAATATATTAATATTTTAATATTTTTAATATATTTTATTTTTTTACTTTTTCCTAACAGCCATATTTTTAAAACGGCTATATTATACAAAAAATTTAAATAATACAATATTTATTATTAAAAACAATACGTGTAATACCCCGTATTTTATTTCAGAGTTTAATTTATTTTAAAAAAAAATTCATTTATGTGAGGATTTCTTTACTTATTATTGTGCATGCTACATTATTATATTAAGTTCATTTAAATGTGCATGTAAATTAATTGTGTATGTTAAAATAGTAAATTTATTCATTTAATTATGCATGTATTATTATTAATAATTTTATTTGTTGGTTATGCTTATATTAATCATTATTAGTTAATTAAAGTATTATGTTTGTGTTATAAAGTATTATAATGATATAATGTATTCTTATGTAATAATAATATTAATAATAATAATAATAGTTTAATAATATAATAATAATAATTATAAAAGTTTTATTAATAATAATATTAGTAATAATAATATTAGTATTAAATCAATGTAATGATGAAAAATTAAATCTTAGGATAGGATTTACCTTAGGACATCTTGCTTGACTTGGCTTGCTAGCCTTAAAGCCTTATGGTTGGAAATGTGGTTAATTAAATGCAAAAATAGATATTTGTAATATTTATATTATATAATTTGTATATAAATTAGCTAGCCTACCTTAGAAGGAAAGAAAGGGAGTTAGAAACAAATTATAAATTCTAGTGAGCCATTGTAAAAGTGTGGAAAGGAAGAGAGAGAAAGAAAGGAGCTTGGACCGGTGTAGGGAATTTACCCGACTACGCGCAACCGGCGGATTTATTTTAAATCCAAAAAGGCAAGTTGTTATCTACTTTTCCCCTTTGAATCCATAAATTATTCATTTAATTTATTTCGGGTTTTTAGAGACTAGAAACCATGCTAGGAGTTTCAATAAATTATTTTTAGTTTATTAAAATAATGTGTTTTAATTATTAAAGAGGTTAGTTATTTATTTATTAGCCTATGTAATTAAAATATAGCTGAAAATAATTAAATAAGGCTTTAGGGATTTTTCTAGAATTTTTTCTGCAATTTCCGGCGAGCCTCCGGCGAGGATTCCGGCCACCGGCAGTGAAGAAGATGACCGGAGTGATTCGGTGTGATGCGGCGCATGGTAGGTTAGTGCGCGCGTGCATCCTGGCCATTGGTAGAGTCTGATTGATCCGGTGCATTGCAGTCTATGATACTGCAGTACACCCGGATCAAGAACCTTTGGATTAAGTAGATTAATCCAATGCAGCATGCCCACGGAGAATCGGTACAACCGACCAACCAGCACACGCCACGTCAGCAGGAACAATTAGTGCGCGCGTGGCAGCGCGTGCGCGTGCGTGGCTGATGCCAGACGCGCGTGGAGGCGCGTGGGAGGTTCTAGACGCGCGTGAAGGCGCGTGTAAGCGCGTGCGCGTGTGAGAAAAGTGGCGGCGCGTGTGGGGAGGCTCTGGGAGGCGCGTGTGGGGTCTCTACAGCTACTGGAAAAGTCCAGAATACCCCTAGGGACTGTTTTGTAAATTCCAGAACCTTAAACTTGGATTTTTAGGTACTGTGTTGGTATTTACAGGTTTAACGGGCCACGAAATTATTATTTTAATACCCGTTAAGTATTATTATGGCCGATTAATATTTCTAAACCTTAATTGGCCCGTTTACCGTACGGATATGAATGTGATTTATTTATCAACATTACCATAGATGGCGTTATTATTTTATGGTATTCATTATTACTGTTCAAATATAATAATGTCACGGTTATTGTCATATAAATTATCCATCATATATTATGGGATATTTATACTGTTAACCATATATCAACCATGATTATTATGCTGTGTGCATTTCAGAGAATAAATGGACTGTTCAAATTATGTCGCATTTATATTATATGGATGTGTTGCCATATAGAACCATGTGAGCTGGCTAATAAGTTTAGACTCATTTATACCTTATGCATTCGTTGCGATAGACAGGTGTGTGGCTGTCGGGGTATGTGGTTTAATATTATTAGCATGTGTTGCCTAATTAACATACTCAGTATATTTATTAATATTGCTGGCATGTGTTGCCTAACTTATATGCTCAGTATATTCATCAGTACTTTGCGAGGTGTTATCACTGTGTAGTTCGTTATAGTCTGTGTTGTCAGTACCGTGAACCATGTATAATAGCTGATTTCCCGGGTGGGGAAAGGCGACACTTAACCACCTAGTGTGAGTCTAAGTGATCACCGTCTATTCTGGTTGATGTCATGTTATACATGGGATAGTCCCCTTAGGATGTATACAGATATAGTACTCAACCAATTCATAATGATTAATTTATTTGATTCTCTGATTTGGGTCATAGTAGAGAGGACTTGCTCGTGGGGTTGACCCACCATTGTTGTTATTTCAGGATACGGTCAGTACCCGTTCCAAGGTTGAGGTTAGCAGTGTGGGACCACCATCCGAACTCATCTACTCTTACGATCCAATTCAGGGTAGAAGTTTTATGTATTACTTCAGTTTCAGTTTTTATTTACTTTTGACGTTGAACTCTCGGGGTTATATTTAGGGATCCTTGACATAGGATTTCCAAGTTGTAATGAAGTACGGTATTAAATAAAGGATGGATGGATGTTGTATTATTTAGTGTTCCTTTCCTGTCTAAATTCTTTTATTATCATCATTTTGTATTCCATGCTTGTATATTGCCAATTGTTTTTGATATCCCTCATTTTTCGTGTATAAGCCTGATCAACTTATGCGTGGAAAATGTGGGGGTGTTACAATATGATACGACATAAATTTAAATAATACAATAAAAATAAAAAACAATACAGTACGAAAAACAGAACAATCATATGGAATGCTTGAAATAATTCTATGGAAAGCTTGAAATAAATAAATAAATAAATATATATATATATAATTATTTTTTTAAAAAAATAAATTCAAAAAATAGGTTTTTGTGCCAATATAGCCATTAAGGCACTGTTTGGCTACAGTGCCTAAAACGGCTATATGTCAGAAGGAATATTTTTTAGAGCTGCAAATGAACCGAGCTGTTCATAAACAGCACAAGCTCAGCTCGGGCTCGTTCGTTAAGCAAATGAGCCGAGCTCGAGACCAATTTCTAGGCTCGTTTAGTAAATGAGCCGAGCCCGAACAACGTTAGGCTCAGCTCATATGGGCTTGTGAACAAGGCTCGTATAAGGCTCGTTTAGGCTCGTGAACAAGGCTCATTTAACACTCGTTTTATATATAAAATTATAATCACGTGGGTTGACCTCATTGGTTTTATTAAACTTAGTACCCAAAATAAAAAATAATAAATTGCAAACATGTGCATAACCTCATATCTTTTCATTCTTTTGTTTACTTTTTTTCACCTCTTTGGATTCTCTAGGTATTGACACATGACCACATAACCTTATCTCTTTTACCATTGATATGTAATACATCTGAGCCGTATATTCACTAAAGTTAATACATCTCAGCCATATATTCACTAAAGTTAAGAGATATGTATAACCTAGAACTAAAAGTCTACTAGAGCCGCGTGTTCTTCTTTTCCCTTCTTCAGCTTCGCGAATGCTATCGCCGGCAGCCCTCACCATGCAACACAGACCTCCTCTCTCACTCTCTTAAAGGATCTAACATGGAACGGTGCAATGATACTATAGATCAAGTTGGTAAAACCTTGGAAGCTTTGCTATCATTTTGAAAATTTGTTCTATAATTTTATTTTTTCTTTCTTGTCGAAGATGGAGTTCAAATGGATTTCATTCGTATCGGAGATGGAGATCAGATGGATTTCATTCTTGTCGGAGATCGGATTTCATGGATGATTTACTGAAGATGGAGATCGGATTGTTGTGTATGTGACCGAGCCGAGCCGGGCTCAGGCTAGTTGAATCTCTGCCGAGCCGAGCCCGAGCTTGCTTAGGCGAAGCTTGGTCGAGCCCGAGCACCTCTTCGGATATAACGAATCGAGCCCGAGCAACCCAAAGCTCGGTTCGGCTCGGCTCATTTGCAATCCTAAAATTTTTAAAAGTAAATTTTTCAAAAAAAAAAAAAAAAAACATTTTTCTCTATTTTTTTAAAAATTCTTTTTCCCCAAAAAAACCTTTAAAGCACTGTTTGTGTCAGCCAAACTATGCTTTAATGACTCTTTGTTCAATTATTTTGAAAAAAAAAAAAAAAAAAAAAAGACCAAAACAAGCCAAAAATTTATTTTTTTCCTTTTTTTTTTTTTTTTTTTTTCAAGCAAACAGAGCCTTAGGAACAATGTTTTGGGCTAAAATACTATTATGACCCAAATTAACAAAATTTAAACAAAATTGATGCAGGCCCATGGCTCGCCAAGAAGGTTGCGGTTTTCCGCAACACCGCGACCCAACATGTGGGGGCCAATTTTTGGCGAGTCCATTAAAGAAGTCCAATAGCAAAAAGGGGCCAGAGTCGCCTTAGTCGGCCGCGTTGGAGCTGCTCTCATGTTCTCAATCTGTTGAGGCATTGATTTGATTTGACTTGAGCATTAAGTACTTCAGTTTGGACAATTGAACCAAAGTTGAAGGGAGTGAGCCTGTGATTTTGTTATGACTGAGTACTAAACCAACGAGATTCCTCAAGTTCCCTATTTCGGGAGGGATGGAACCTTCAATTTCATTATATCCACGGAACAAAATTTTCAAACAAGTTAGATCGCCAAGAACCAAAGGGATGGTCCCTATAATTTTATTACTGCTAAGTTCCGAATCAACCAGATTCTTCTAGTTCCCAATTCCTGAAGGAATGGGACCAGTGATATCATTAAAAGCAAGAGAAAGAGACACCAAATTTGTTAAATTACCCAAAGTAGAAGGCATTGGACCAATGAGCTGGTTCCTTTTAAGGTCTAAATGAGG